TTCACGGATTACCGTGAATTCCGTATATTACCAGAAATACCAACACAAAAATGTTGAAAAGTTTTGACAGTGTAGAGAGCGTTCGGCACATAAGAAACACGATGAACGGACGATGTGTATGCGAAAAAGTCCGATGTGCAAACAGCAGGGCTGCACAACTGCTTTTTGTGCAACGGATTTTGTTGAGTGCGCTAAGCGACAGCTGACACAGCTATCTCATCGGTCGGCCTAACCATTTTTGATATAGCTCTCCAAACGAAGGTGTTATTTCAATCTACAGTGACTAGCGAAATTATTTTGGAATATCATCATAGGATCATATTTGAATAAAGCGCGTGAAATAAAATTGAAGTGAAAAATCGTTGACTCAGGGAAGAGGTCTTGTTTAGAAAAAAATCGGAAAATTCGAAAACATCAAAAATGGTAGTGAAAAAATTTGAAAATTCCAAGTGATTTTGTTAATTAATTCAATTCTCTTTTAGAATTTGAAAATTTTCCTAGCATTATCCATTTTCGTAACGCTTTCAAATGGATACAAGGTGTTATTTATGGGTACTTTCAACGGAAAGAGTCATTCCTTGAACATGCAATCGTTTGTAAAGGCACTTTTAAATCGCGGACATGAAGTTACATTCCTAACAAGTCAATCGATGGGCAACGTGAACTTGGCAAATTACACAGAGATTCTGATTGACCCACCATTTGATATTCATTCATTATGTGAGTTGAAACATAACCGTCAAATAAAATTGACAAGAATCTGATTGTATTTATGTAAAATAATTCGTATGTGTTTTATAGTTCTACAAGATATGTTGCTCACGATGGGGGAAAAATCAGCGTTTACAGCAATTTCTGATATACCAGCATACATCCATGTGATGAATGCTTATGCTTTTGAAAATCCAAACGTTCAAAAGTTGATTCACTCCACTGATCTCCATTTTGATGTCGTCATCAATGAGGAATTTTTTGCCGATAGCTTTTTGATGTTTGCTCACAAATTTAACGCTCCAATTGTTACAATTTGTATGTTTTGAATGGCTTTCGAAATATTTCAATTATATAATATTTGATAATAATTGATTTTCATGTCGATAGGTCCATTCGGGATCGCTAATCATGTTGATACACAACAGGGATTACCCGACGAGAAATTTGCGGAATATCGCATTGCGACTATTCTACGTATAGTCGCAATACGAAAAAGTCCGTCGAACGCAGCCAACTTCACGTTGGTTGTACGAAGTTTCAAGTCGAAATGTCACACTCGATCCAGTTACAACTTCACATTTATCGCAGCGCGAATAGTCGCAGGGTATTCAGCGATAACATTTTGCGGCAACTTTTATTGTGGATACCTATTCGCATTGCGAGTATCCGCACTCAAAAACGGATATGCGACGGATAGTCGACGTACACCTATTTTACCGCAAATTTCTCGTCGGGTTAATGACACCATGGAGTATAGCTCCACATTGGGTAACATTCTCTCTTGAATAAACTGACTTTTTTGAGAGATTTTCTTAAAACCATTTTTGAATCATTTTCAGTAGATGTTGCCATATACCGACGATATGACATTTTATCAACGATGGTATAATTCATTAGTCAGTTTGTATGATGTGTACATACGCCACTTTTGGTATCTGCCAGCAGAGGACGCACTTACAAAGAAGCACTTTGCCCACTTGGCACCATTGCCATCATTGAGCGATTTGGTAAACAATATATCCGTTATGTTTGTGAACAATCATCGAGCTCTTTCGCCTCCACGGCCGGCCATGCCAGGTATGACACAACTTCATTCATTTTTTTTTGCATTCATATCTGATCTTCATTTTTCAATTCATAATTCATTTTGTTTCCGTTTTGTCTAGGAACCATAAACATCGGCGGAGCTCATATTAAACCTGCCAAACCGTTACCAAAAGATCTTCAAACATTCTTAGACGAATCAAAGGACGGAGTTATTTATTTCAGCTTGGGTACAGTGATGCAAAGTTCGAAATTACCAAGACATAAAATCGAAGCCTTCTTAGGTAAGAAGTTTGACTTGAAATTCATAAATGGAAGTAAATAACATTTCAATCGAATCGATGAATTTTCAGACGCATTCAGAAATCTGAAGCAACGTGTGCTGTGGAAGTTCGAAGATGATTCATTAACCAATGTTCCATCAAACGTATTCATCCTAAAATGGGCGCCACAAAATGATGTTCTAGCGCATCCAAATGTGATTCTGTTCATTTCACACGGTGGGTTATTCGGAACGTCTGAGTCACTGTATCACGGTGTGCCGCTTTTGTTGATCCCATTCTTTGGAGACCAGCAGCGCAACGCACACAGAATCGCCACGGCCGGCTACGGAAAATACATCACATTTTCTGCCATAACCAAAGAGACATTTTCGGAGAAAATCAATGAGCTCATTTCTGATAAGTCCTACTTCAACAAAGCCAAGCAAACATCAGCCATTTTCAAAGATAACATCGCACATCCTATGGACGAAGCCATGTTCTGGATCGAACACGTCGCCAAATTCAAGGGTGCAAAGCACTTTCAATCACACGCTGTTCACATGTCGCTGTTCTCATATCTACTACTTGACGTTCTAGCCGTGAACGTGCTTGGAGTGTTGGC